GCATCGCTACTAGTAACAAGTGCCTTACTAGTAGTAACAAGAAGCTAATAGAAGCTTCAAAGAAAAAGGCAAAACTGGCTGACACGGATTCAATGGTCTAGAATCTAGAGGATCCAGGTGGCTGCACGGAGTCAACTCAAAAAGGGAGCCTCCATCCTCTGTCAGTGCGCCAGGGCCGCGAAGCAAGGAGCGGCTCGCAGTGAGCCTCATCCGAGTTCCAAATTTTCATGTGTGGTCAGTCAGCGGAACCGCTTTCTGTGGTCTCCTACGAACCAAGATCATACCTTGCGTTCACCTTATGCAGGAACAAGCTAGCCCCTCCTCGGTGCTTTGTTTGGCATTTTGCTTGTGCTTAGATTCCCATGTTCAACAACTGTTGAATCTAGCCTATATTGTATATAATGGGGGTTGTTCAAAATACCTTTTCCCGAAAGCTATCCATGCGCCGGCCTTGGGCGAATCTTGCGCGGATCTTGCACGAACACAGTAAAACTACATACAGTTTTTGTTCAAATGAGTTTTCGTTTACCTGTTTTCGTGGGTGAGTGTCGTGGGTGTGTATGTGTATGTGCAAACCGCTATCACAAGCGGAGAGTTCATAAACAACACGGCCGAAACAGCTGGCTCAGAGAAGTCGACATGGCCAGTCCCGTTCTATGCGCATTGCGCGGATCTTGCGCCGAGCATGCACGAACCTTGCGTGGAAGGTTGATCCTGTATTGGCCACATTCCGAAGGAGTTACCTTAAGACGTGTGTGGAGACAAGAAGCATTCTGAAGCATACTTAGAGTCTTAAATCGGTTAAGACCTCACACGTTTCAGTTTCACTCCACAAAGCACAAGCTAGCTACCGATTTTTTTTCCCGAATGCGTAGCGAAGGGTTCCCGTTTATAGTTGGGGGTCTGGGGGTTGGAGCTGTGTTCCCGTGGCTTGCGTCGTGTCGTCGTCTCTCGTCGTCTGTCGTCGTCTCTCGTCGTCTCTCGTCGTCTGTCGTCGTCTGTCGTCGTCGTCGCGTCTCAAATTTGCTGCCATTGGGGGAAGCTTTTGCAAGTGACTTTGCATGGATGTGTCACGTGTCAGTTTGCGCCGCTATTCCATTGTGATTTGCATGACACCGACATGTTGCGCAAGAAACGTGATGCATTTCGCTGCACAGGCGCAGCGTTTTGTGAGATCCGCAGTTTGCTGCGCAGTGCCATTGGGATTAGTGTTTGGAGAGTCGTGTTTTTGGGGTGTTGGATGTGGCCGTGCCATTGGGATTTGCGTTTCAGGGTGTGGCATCGAAGCTCTGTTTTCGTGACAAGTCTCAGCTGAAATGGCGATTTTGGAGGATGGGAGTGTGCTCTGAACGGGTCGAAATCATTCCAAACGTGTGGTGTGGTGCAAATTTTGTTGAAGCTCACATGCGCTTTTCGTGGCAGGCGCAGGACTTCGTGCGGGCTTTGAAGCGTGGAAGTGCGATTCTCATGGCAGGCGCAGGGAATCGTGAGGCTGCGAGGTGTGAGGGAGGTGACATTTCGTGGCAGGCGCAGTACTTTGTGCGCGTCAGACGTGTGGATGGGGAAAGATTCGTGGCAGGCGCAGGGAATCGTGAGGTTGTGAGTTGTGGTAGAGGTGAATGTCGCTGTCACATTGGGATTGGCGTGTGAGCGGATGTTGTTTGGAGGGGCTGGAATCGCGAAACTGCTTGGCAGGGCTGCGTGATGTGTGTGCTTTGATGGGTGTTTCCGCTTGACTTTTGGAGGAAGTCTCGTACGAAACGCTCGTTTTGCTGACTTTGACGTGTGAGTTTTTGAGGAAGTCTCGTACGAAACGCTCGTATTGGAGACTTGACGCGCAACCCTCTGCGGAGATCGTGCGTGTCGAGTGTGCGAAATGCAGGCGAGAGTGCGATTTGTCCCATGCGCGCGCAACCCTCTCCGGAGATATTGCGTGTCGAGTGCGCGAAATGCAGGCGAGAGTGCGATTTGTCTCATGCGCGCGCAACCCTCTGCGGAGATCGTGCGTGTCGAGTGCGCGAAATGCAGGCGAGAGTGCGATTTGTCCGGTGCCCGCGCAACCCTCTGCGGAGATCGTGCGCGTCGAGCGCGCGAAATGCAGGCGAGCACTGGCGACTTTGTAACAAGAGTGTCCCACAGAGTGTCCCACAAGAGTGTCCTACAAGAGTGTCCCACAAGAGTTTCCCACAAGAGTGACCCACAAGAGTGTCCTACAAGAGTGTCCTACAAGAGTGTCCCACAAGAGTGTCCCACAAGAGTGTCCTACAAGAGTGTCCTACAAGAGTGTCCCAGAAGAGTGTCCCACAAGAGTGTCCTACAAGAGTGTCCCAAAAGAGTGTCCTACGTGACTGTCCCACAACAGTGTCCCGCTAGAGTGTCTCACAAGAGTTGCCCTTAAGAGTGTCCTACAGGAGTATCCCACAAGAGTGTCCTACAAGAGTGTCCCACAAGAGTGTCCCACCAGAGTGTCCCACAAGAGTGTCCCACAAGAGTGTCCCACAAGAGTGTCCCACAGAGTGTCCCACAAGAGTGTCCTACAAGAGTGACCCACAAGAGTGTCCTACAAGAGTGTCGTTCAAGAGTGTCCCACAAGAGTGTCCCACAAGAGTTTCCTATAAGAGTGTCCCGCAAGAGTGTCCCACAAGAGTGTCCCACAAGAGTTTCCTACAAGAGTGTCCTACAAAGTGTCCCACAACAGTGTCCTACAAGAGTGTCGTGTAAGAGTGTCCCACAAGAGTGTCCTGCAAGTGACCCACAAGAGTGTTCTACAAGAGTGTCTCACAAGAGTGTCCCACTAGAGTGTCTCACAAGAGTTGCCCTTAAGCGTGTCCTACAGGAGTATCCCACAAGAGTGTCCTACAAGAGTGTCCTACAAGAGTGTCCCAGAAGAGAGTCCCACAAGAGTGTCCTACAAGAGTGTCATTTGGACATATTAGTTTTTCGATCGTGTTTGCATTCGGGTTCGTGGGTTCCATCTTGTTATATATTGGGATCCCACGCCTGTAATGCTTTTGTAGTTACTGTACAAATTGAGGAATACAGCACGCGACATACTCAAGGATCCTCCCAGGCGTTGCCCTTCTTGGTCTCCATGCAAGAGTTGCTCCCTGCGCTCTAGAAGCTCATGTCGCTCCACCACGTGCCCCCGATGATCAATCGGCGAAGGCCTCGAAGCAAGAGAGAAAATTCTACCAACCATGGTGACTGTGCTGTCATGGTTTTAGGCCATCCAAGCCCCGGTGTGCAAGGCTCAAAGGACAAGACTGGATGCTCCAAACAGGCATCCTAAATTCTCTCGATTGACTGAAAGGGCGGGCAACGCAGAAAAAAGGAAACACGTGCAAATGCATATCACAAAGAATAAATGCCACGCAGCTTGACTTCAGCCAATGTACCGTGAGGCACTCCTAAGTAACTGGCGCATAATGCAAGCAGGCCATTTTGAAGGCTGCAAGAACCAAAGGAGCCTCGGCGATGAGACTGGAATTCAAGGGTGCCCTGATGCGATGTCGCGTGTGACAAACCAGAACTGATAGTCCCAGTGTTCAAATGCTTCACATGGGTCAGACTTTAGCTTTCAGCATCCACCAAACGCCAGCCGCTACTCATGTAGTTGTTCTCAAGTGACATCTTGACAAGCGAAGCTGCAGAATTCACCAAGGTGTTTTGGGCTGACCCGCTCAAGATTGGAACGGTCCAGCTTCAGATTCTTTACTGCCACTAAGCTCACCTTGAGGAGTGGACGACACTATCCCCCAAAAGAAGAAGTAATAAAAACGCATCTATAGAACTGTTTTGCAGTTGCAAAAATCATAATTACAGAAGAACGAAGGCTTATGAGCGGCTTATGGTCAACTGGAAGAATTCTCTGTGCTTCGCGGCCCATGAGGGGCCCTGACTTGTCCGCTGCAGGATACACACCGATTGTCCACACGCACCACAGGCTTCTGCACAAACAAAGAGCGCGGGTTGCGCAACATCAAAAACAAGTGACCAAAGATGGGGTGAGTCATCAGCACTGCGTTGGGGGGTGGACATCCCGGGGGGGATATCTTTCTAGAAGTATCTATAATTCCAAGAGGGTATGTCCACCGTCCCCACATCTGTTAGTTTGCAAGAGATGGCATGTTTTGAAGAGGTCCGAAACGCCTCCAGCACAAAAGGATTCTAGGAAACCCTTCCCAGGACATCCCACAGCAAAAAAACCTTACATCACTTTACTTATCCTTAGTTGGTCTATCTCGATCTTACTTGTCAAATCTGGTTAATAACCTGCTTACTTGTCAACAAAGTATTATATCAAAGAGCGATTCAGAGTTGATTTAAGTTAAGTTACTAAACACATATACCTGAGAAGGGGGGACGAAAGCCAGCTTACGTGTGTATGTGGGTCCCTGTCTCCACTCGAGTCCTCTATGCCCTTTGTCCAAAAAAATCCCCAAAGCCCTTCATGATGCTAATGATGCACAACTCGGCGACCATTACATCACTCGCATCATCAGACCCCAGTGTCACTGCTTTTCGATGCTTTTCGGACCCTCGCTTTGGAGCGCTCTCCCCCACCAAGCTCTGGGTTCACCTTATCAAAAGGTTCCGCTCAGCGACCACCCCACCCCCACACCCCCCTTAACTCACTTCGTTCGCCCTAAAAGCTCAAGCCTTGCCAATCGGCTGGCTTTCGTTTAAAAAAAATATATATAAGTATATAGTTACATATTAAACTATATAAGTATATAGTTACATATTAAACTATATCAAGCATATAATAGAGTGTGCTAGATTTTACTAGATCGTATGAGCTTACTTGAGCCTACTAGCAGCTTACCCCCACAGCCCACGGCCGCAAATGGCCTCAAAAAGCTCAGACTTTATCTTGGTCGTGAGCCCACTTAAGCCTATTACCAGCCGCGGCCTGGCCCCACTCGCACAGCCTCATAAGGCATCATACTGTCAAGAAAACAAACTTACTTTCCAATTGTAGGTTTACACCGGTTTACAGTTTACAGTTATCTACTATAGTTCTGTAATGTTATTTGGCACTTGCACAGCACCAGTTATATGGCACTTGCACAGCACCACCATCAATCTATCATGAAGCAACTTGTTTGTATCTTGATTTCATTTATGATCATCTATGTCTATGTACTGTACTTATATTCAATATGCATTGATGCAAACCAGTTCCCACTTTAGATTAGTTTAGATGGCAAGTGATGACAAATCTGTTGGGCCATATTGAACCTTTCTCCTATGCATCCCCGGACTATAAATTCAGTATAATTTAGTTATGTATAGTACTAGCTTCCAACCTACTTGCGATGGCCTCCACCCAATAGCGTCCTTGCTATAGTACTGTATAGTGATGTTATGTGGCACTTGCACAGCACCACCATCAACGTAAGGCCAAATCCCAATCCCAACTCCCGCCCAAACATCCCCAAACCAAAATGCTGACAGGCGTCTTACCTGTCTAATCTCAAAACCCAAAAAATCTAGGAGTTTCCCAAAAAGTCTAGGAACCAAATCATTAGAGCTTCAGGGAAGCTTCCCCTCGCCCTCAGCCACAGGCGGGGGGAGCTTCCTTGAAGAAGCGTGAGCTATCCTGCCTCCATACTAGTAGCTTAAGTAGCTAGTAGCTTGCTCCCTTACTTAATTAAGTAGGCGGAGACACGGTCATAATAGGGCCCCTGGTTTTCTGCTTCTTCGTGCGTTTTCGAGCTGACTGTGTGCGTTTTTGAGGTTACGGTGATGAGGTTGATGTTATAGTATTGATATTAAGACGTTAGTTTAGACTTTCAATGGGGGGGGTTTCGGGTGGTGGGGGGGGGTAATGACGTCCATGTTACAAGAATGTTTGATGAACTATTTAGACGTTACATGGGGGGTGGGTGGGGGGGGGTGGGATAATGACGTCCATGGGGGTGATGATATTTTGAATTTTCATGGGGGTTCGGTTGAGGTTGTTGATGGATACGTTCTATGCGCACATTGTATCTCACCTACTGCAAGTTTTGGCTTCGACGATGATGGTTTCGGATGTTTCGACGGTGTTGTGTTTGGTTTTGTTGTTTCGTTTGTGTGGTGTTCGGCAACCGCCTCAAACCGATTTGGAGTGTTTGGGACCCCTTTTTCGTGTTAACGTTTTTACGTTAGATCATTGGATCAATATATTGATATTTTCACGACCCCTCTGTTGGATGACACATTGAACTTTGTTGTGCAAACATGTTTGATCTCCGAACGTTCTTGGGTAGATTGGGATCTGGTTGGACAAACACGTGGGAATCTTTTTTCGATGTTGGTTGGAATTTTGTCGAGGTAGAACCCCCAACACAGTGTTGACAGCTGCACTTCTAGTTTTATCCCTAATAAGAACGTGTGACCAAGTAGGCACCTACTTAATTTTCTGTAGAAAGGGTCGGGGGGGCCGACAAAAAAAACACGATGTCCCTCCCTACCTCGAAAAAACGTTTAGTAATTACAAATTGATGTGGTACACCGTTGACCGTTGGGATTACACTATATACATTGACCAGGTTCTCCATCAATTACGAAGAAGTAAGGGGGTGCTGATGGTGAATCTCTACATATATATACAGTATAAATATACACTATATAAACATATCTTGCCTGAATTGTGGAGGATATTCTCGCAACATGAGCGCCCCTAACCAACCTGGGCACGAGTTCCTGAACACTCCAGAATTCAAACACGCAGTGACCCACATGAAATGATGCTAGTCTTGACGTGAAAAGTGAAAAGCAGCTGCTTTTGCTGCCTGGATACCTTGAGCATCCTTGAACCTTATCAGATTTGCTCCGTGCAAGCTTTGTCTGCCACGTTGGCGACAAGGCTTTGAATTGCAAGCTTGGCAGGCTAATCCAAAAGTGTTAAAGGACGCAAGGATGACAAACCCACAACAAAAACATGATGCAAAAGCAGGTACATCCTAAAGGGTGAGCGGCGGTAATCCTAAAACGTGTATTCCTTCCATCCAAGAATCGTTCCTGGTGTAAAATTGAATGAACTGAACATATTCATATACTCTGCAAAATGAGGAATCAACTCCTTTCACCCTCATGTGGTTCTTGATAACACATGATAAAACAAGTAGCATTTGGACCACTTGACTGGCAAGCCAATGAACACCGTCCGTGTAGAATCAAAACAAGCTGACAAAAATAACTGACTGATAACCGCGGTGAAACCTGCACTCGGACTGCGCTCGAGGGATATCCTGTTTAATCTCGACACGCTGCAACCCCCCCAGAACGCCTGTTTGGAGGTTTTATTGGGCTTCAAGCCGCCAGGCCTTGGACAAATACTCTGTCGTCTGAAGTAGCAAGTTGATAGCAAAATGGGTGGTTTGTCGTAGCGCCTCTGAACAAGTTCCATTGCATGTCTTTAGCCATTTGTCATGGCCTCTTCGACAGCAAATGCTGAGTTCGTGTATATATTTACAAGTCCATTTGAGGTGGCAAGAAACTATAACAATAGCTCTGCATGCACAAATTAGATCAAATTAGAGTCTCACAACACATGGCAAAGAAGACGGTTTGCTCAAGGCAAAGCCTCTGGAAGCGGTGCATTACACGACTTCTGAGTACATTCAGCCAGAGCCTCAACGCGGGAGTTTGATATGACTCGACCACGCATATTGGCATAAGCTAAAACTGACACCAACCCTATGTTGCCTCATCTGAACTTGTGGCCTTCTGATCCTCTAAGCTGATCCAAATATCCTGAACATCCCTGAACCAAGTCTCCCCGCGCTGATTGCAGTCGACCTCATGCTGAAGTTGGCCAAGTATCAAGTCTTGAAATTGACCAGGCCCTTTTAATCTCAACAACTGGGAAGCAGGGATATCTCATACTTCGCTGTTTTGCGAAGCTGCCTTGTTCGGGGATTGAAACAACGCCACGAATCTCTGAAACAGTCAACCTCTTGATTATTCAAAAAAACACAACAAATCAAGGACGACGTGCTCTGTGGCGCAGTTACGTTTATAGATGTTTATAGTTTATAGTCACTAGATGAGGAAGCTTAGAGATTGCGAGTTAACAAATCGATCATTGCATGCACAAATCCATATTTGCACACACACACACACCTGATAACTGATCTGTCAACAGCTTTGGCACGGCACAGCTCTATTCGCTAGGTCTCTGCACATTCTGGTCTAGGTCGCTGAGGCTCTGTGTGCGTACTCCGGGCCAAGGTTAACCTTAGAAGCGCCCCTCGAGACTACAATGGTGCCTTGGACTCTGAGACGGCAGGTGTGACAATGGCATGCTACGTCACGATACCCCTCCGGCCAAAGCTAGCCAAAGGAACAAATTCATTGTGGATTGCTGATTGCAGGCCAAATTCAGCATGAAAATCACAGAGCGGGTCCAGTGAGTTTCACACCAAGTGACCTGGCCTTCATTGACTAGTCAATCAAACTGTGAAAACTAGTGAAAACCTATTTATTATATATATAGACATATTACATTGTTTGCGCTGTAAATTGTGCTACAAGTAAAGGATACTATGGCAAAATCCTCTAAGACTCCTTTTGCTCCTTGCCGACATTTGCAGTTGAGCTGAGGACAACATCGCATTAAAACTACTATCCCAGCTCCAAACCACAACAACTCCAAGCGGTGGTTTCGAACAGGTCCTCATGTGCAAGGCCGTGTATTTGTATGTTGTGGATGCCTTTACACGTGCGTATGGAGTCAAATTGTGTCAACATGATTCCTTATTGATTGAGGTCTATTGAGGTGAGGTTCCTATCATTCTGGCGCGTTCTGCTGCAAATGCCTGTGGTAATACAACCTATCGCCAACCTAGAGCAATGCTGCGTTCTTTTAGCACGACAAGGTACCATCCAATTTACAGTAGACACTGGAATTCCAAGCGCTGGCCAAACGATTTCTCAATCCTGGAACCTGGGAACGTTCCTCCTTAAAAACAGTTGTGTTTATTCACCGTTGAAGACATTAAAACTACCCTAGAACGTTACAAGATATCTGCGCAGTGCGTGGGCAAAAGCAAGTTCAATATTAGGTCCGTTGCTGCAGCAGGCAGGTTGGGAAGATAAGGACTTCTCTCAGGTTCTTGTGGTTAGCTCTCCATGAGGAAGCTGAGAGCAAAACCCCTTTGCCAAGAGAAACAACAATCAAAGTGCGCCGTATCATAATGACTTGCCATGACACGAAGTTACAATTTCCATCATGCAAATTCCTCCGCAGCATTGAAATTCCTTTTCAGTCCCGATGCCAACTCAAAGGGAAAGCTTGGGAAGCAAAAGAGAAGAACAGACCATACACAACAGTGCCAAATTTAGTCTGCCAAATCGTCGACGATTTATCCGTCACCCAGCGCAGTTTTGTCCAGTTCTCTCAACAGTCTGTCCACCTTGGGGTAACTGCGCTAATTGTTCACCAATTCACGCTCTGTGTATCAAGGGGTGTATGGGGAGCGCTTGGATCATCGTTACGCAAGTCGTGTTACCATGTCTTACCCTCATTCGTACTTTCTCACACACATGGCCCATGAATCCCGGTCTAGGCATGGCTTGATCACTGTCTGTTCTTACAAAAGGATCAGAATGGGTTGTTCAAGGAAGCTTCTCCTGCCCTGAAGGCGATCTTGACCTCCGACTTGCTTACCCCACATCTACTGGCCCTTGGTAAAGTCCATTGGTCTGTTTGTTTCGTCCACCTGAGGCCCCATGCTCATCATCCTTCACCTGAAATACATCCGGTGACTCAACTGGCCAAGACTGCTTCCGTGTTGCACTTCTGTCCGAAGGTCCACATGGGATGGCACTGTGGCATCGGAGTTCGTGGCTCGTTGCAGCCACCCTACTCACCCAAAAACGTTGAACAAATATGAAAAAAGGCGAGATGAATTTTTGCAAGGGTTGTTCCCATTGGCATAGAAGTAGAAGGCACCTCTGAACTGTTCCAAAAGCTTTATGCTTTTTTTTTCCCATGCTGCCATCAGAAGCCCCCTTCGTTTTGAGCAAGCGACCCCCATCAAAGAGATCCGGTCTCGGTCGATAGCATCTTGCTTCTCGAGCGCCTGCATCAAAAGTTCTGTTGCCTTGCTTGCAGCTTCATAAGAGCATATGGGAGCTACCTTGACCAAAAGAGTTGACCCTTTCTGACAATGAGATGTTCACGAGATGCCATTAGCGGCCATTAGGACCCGGCACATTGCATCAATTCGCTCTCGAGCACAGGATCCAACCTAAGCAGTGTCGGCTGAGCTGCAGTCACATCATAGCCACTCGGAATGGTTGGACTCTGGTGTACAAGTCATATTGGTAACACAGGATGAAATGAGGCTTTCATAGCCAAACAGGACAATTGAATCTGGAAGAAGGTCACTGTCCAATGATAGTGCACAACATTACTGTATATTACAAGAAGCTACTAGGGCTCCTGGCATCGCTACTAGGAGCAAGGACGCTACTAGGGGCTCCTGGCCTTACTACCAGGAGCAAGGACCCTATATTACTTTTGCACACCACTCTGTCGGTCTTGGTCTGCACCACATTTCTGAGCCTTCCAGTCACAGAGTAGATGTGCTCGATGCCGCGTAGAACGGCCTCAGGGGGTCTATGGCGTTCCGGTCCATATGGTTCAGGAATAATTCAACAATCTAATATATTCTTCCAAGAGGATTCAAGAGGTGTGATTGTATGTCTCCCCAATATTGAAAAGATTCAATAACATGTGTACATTTACATACATAATAGATACCGTGTACTTAGTGTACTTGTATGTGGCAAAAGAAGCATTCACCGCGAACAGGGCATCTCGTGGCTTCGTGCCCGCAGCATTGAGCCATTTTGAGTGTGTCCAAACGTGTATTCCCAACTACATGTGGATTGCTCTTCAAATCGGTTGTTGCTGATGGAATAAAACACGATCTGTTTTCTCTTGCCCACAATCTAGCAAAGGGCAAGCAGCTCACAAGCTCTTTGAGATTCTTTGAGGCCACAAGCAGGAGGATTCTCTGGATGTTCCAAGAATTCTTTGGATGCAAAAAACAAACAATTACAGTAAATATAGATAACTCTTCTTGGCTTGATATCGCTCGATCACCAGGCATCAGAGTTGTCGAACACACCACCCAAGCGCTTCTTCAAGGCTTTCAGCCTCGGAGTGTCTCACACAATGCTCTAGTGTACAAGCTCCTCTACCTCAACCCCGGTCAGGCTCCAAAGCCGGGCTTGTTCATTCGCGAACAGCATGAACAACCAAAACCACTTCTACCTCCCAAGGGCGCAGCAAAAATACCGGACAGGAGATCATCGATACACATGAGCTGGTCCTCCTGCACTGGCCTTTCCATGATGCTGTACCTACTGCAGCTCTAGTTGAGCCATCTACTGAGCCTTCCTGACAACCGGCGTTGCGCCATCTACTCCCCACATGGATATCAGCCTTGATAGACCAAAGTAAAAGCAATCGAGGAACTTGCACCATTCCAAATTTTTCAACATAATTGGAGAATTTGGGAAAAACACAGCTTATATTGCAATTCTTGGCAGTTTTAAGTATTCGTTCACTCACCAATTTGGCAACATAAAGCTGAGGAGTAGATGGCCCAACTCCTTTGACAGGTTTTAGAGAGAGAGAGAGAGAGAAGGAAAGAAGGAAGGAAGGAAGGAAGGAAGGAAAAGAAAGGAAAAGAAAGGAAAAGAAAGGAAAAGAAAGGAAAA